TAAATTATCAATAATTTGTGGTTACACTGGAAAGTTATCCTAATCTCAGTATACTTTAAGTCATGGACCAACGATTCTGGAACTCAGAATGAGCAATTTATAAAAGGTCTTTGAATAACTAGGATACCGTCTTGTGTATATGATTTTTAGGTAGAAGTTTGAATAGGTTGTACCTTTTTAGAAGAATGGGATGATGGGTCATCACCTTAGAGCTTGTTTAAAAAAATAAAGTAAAAAAGCTGTGATTGCAAAACTACAACATCTTGAATTTACTACTTGGACGAAGCAGTCAATAGTTCAGTAATAGTCAACAACTCAGTAAAATAACTAAGGAGGTGAATGGAGATCCTGATTTCACGTTACCATTTGTTTAATACAGCAAAACATTCAAAGTTTAAAGGGTATTTTTTTCACGTCTTAAAATCAGTGGCTGAGCTGCTGCTCAAGCTCTGCCACTTTCGATTCCCTTCATCCCTCTGATCAGAGCTCAACACAAATTTGTCAAGCAAACTTTCCCTTAGCGTGAATTGTGAAATACAAAATACACTAGGAGTTAAAAGAAATTTCTCATAACTTGTCAGTGCATACCGCATTTTCTTTCAAAGACCACCAAAATTCTTTTAATATTCTCAGCCAAACTGGTGAGATCTGTCCTAGAGCATGAGTTCATGCAGAACCTAGTTTGCCAGAAGTTTGGGTGCTTTTTTTAGCAGTAGGCTTATACCTAGAATCTTAATGTTGATAACTTAGTGTTGTATTTATCTCTAAGGGGATAAATTCTTTCTTAAAATTAGATTATATGCTCTCCTATTCCAATCTTCTTGAAGTAAGGTTTTATTTGTGCCTTTGTGCTAGCAATGAAACATATAAGATTGCTGCTGAGGTCTTTTCTGGCATCTCTCCCATACATAGCACTCGGATTCAGATGCAAACAAATTTGTCTTAATCTGTTATTTTTTTTAAAGCATCTGTTATTTCTGTGAGTAGAAACCCCTGTATCCTTTCACTGCTCGTGTGGTCTCTTCTCCATGATGATTCCTTGATTTGACGCTTGTCTCAGCAGGGTGGGTTTCTCAGGGAGAATTTCAAAGAAGCATTGCCTGAATTACTCTGTCAAATTTCCACGTGTCTTTTCCTTTTTACTTTGCTCACTTTGAACCCCAAATCCGGGGAACTTAAAACAGGAGAACACAACAGCAAGTGGATTATTTCTGCACTTGAACTTTTTACAAATCTGGAGTGTTGTGCCCTGTTTTGGGCTTCCCAGTGGAAGGAAGATATCAGTGTAGTGGAGGGCTAACAAGACGAGCAGGTGGCTGGAGGGCATGAGCTACGAGGAGAGGCTGAGGAATTGGGCTTCCTCAACGTTAAGAAGAAAAGGTTGAAGGGGAAATATCTGTATTCTTGTGTGCTGCTACCTGATGGGATGGGACAGAGGAGGTAGACCAGAGGTACATGGTGACAGGGAGAGAGTGGGTACCAGATGGGGGTAAAACAGCATTCCTCTGGGAATCTCACTGTCCTTCACTTCTTATTTCTGATGAATGCCAGTGTCAGTGCTTCTGTGCTTTTCTTGCTTTCTGTAACTGGCTGTTTCAGAAAGGAGTAACTGTGGCAATGGGACACAGCCTCAGCACAACAGCCCATTGTAGTGGTAATGCACAGTGAACGTGAATTTGTAGAATAACCAGGACCTACCTTTTACTTAAGCTTCATGTGCCTGAAGGTTTTGAACCTTCTTTTTTTTCTTTCCAGTGGTGTTTTGTTACAGAACAAAGTTCTTGAAATAGCATGTGATTAAATGGATAACAACCAGAGGCAGCTTCTTAAACTGGCATGCAAAGCATTTAATTTACAATCATTTTTCCTGTCTTATTCTAAAGTTGGCATGAGGCATACGTTTAATGAAATATAAATGTTATATCAAAGTAGTTGGCAAAACATTGAGATGTATTTCTCTTGCCTGGGTACTGATTTTTTTTCCAAGGAGAGGAAAAAGCTAACAGTACTTGTGTGTTAGGTGTGACATCAATGATGTGTCACTTGTCTGTGTGATAGCCATCCGTATCTGCTTTAAAATGTTCATTAAAATGCATTTACTGCCATTTGTGCACATAATTGGGACTCAGAGATGCTTCTCAGATCAAATAAAGCTCTCAAGCTGAAGAAATGCGCATCTTCACAAGCAGAATTTTACAGCTTTATATTTTGGAGATGTGCTTGTATAATGGTGCACAGCTAATGATTTTGCTCCTGCCTGCAACTTTGCCTAATGAGTGAGCTGAATTGAAGTGGATGGAGTGGATGGGCTAAAGGATTAATCATGTCATAAACACGTTCTGTCTCCATTTCTCAGCTGTATGTACTTCCAGTTCGGCAGCGTTGAAACGTTTAGGCTTAAGGAATCTGTATCTTACGCTGGGAATTAGTTTGGAGCATTTCCTCTTCCTTGGTTGGGGATGTTTGTTGTATAGCAGAGGCTTGGGGGCAGTTGCAGAGGGAAGTGTAAGAGCTAGCAGAGGAAAAAAGGAGCGGGGGATTATTGGAGCAGCAAAAGTAGAAAGATTTTTCTTAAATGTGTGGGCAGAGCAGTCTGAACAGCCAAAGGGATCTTTGAGGAGGGTTGTGTTCTGTGAAGAAAACATCTGTGTTTAGCAGTTCACATTAAGCATTACGTTGCATTAGAGTTCATTCTTTTCAGTGCAGATGAAAGTCTGTGTGAGATTGTGAAAGATGGTGGTGGAGACCTGGAGCACGAGGGCAAGAGGAGAAACAAACAAGGAAAACGGAAGTGGTATAGGTTTGAGTAGTCTCAGCATTGTGAATTTGCTGGTTTGTTTTTTTTTTGTTTGTTTTTATTAAGGCTGTTCAGTGGGGATGCATTGTTAATTAGAGTATTAAAAACTTTGAGATTAAGGCTTCCTCCTCTTAAACACGCACTGGGGTTGGCAATATAGTTGCCACAACTTGAGGAGAGTTCTGTAGGAAGTGGAGGAGAGACAGGTTGTTTTAAATTAAGACTCAGTGTTCTACTTCTGGCTAATTAGCGCCTTTGTTAGTGGCTAATTAACTTAAATGTTTGACTCATGAGATCCAAATCCATTCCAAAAAAACTACAAACCAAAACAAAAAGAACAACCTGCCAATTCTGGCACTGATGAAACTACTTATTTCTTGTACGTGTAGCTGTGTAAAAATATTTTAGTTTCTTTGTGCTCATCACAAAGCATTTGATTTGTGAGTGTAGAGTTCATAACGTGAACTTTGTGGCTATAATTTTGGTAGCCATTTTAAAAGAGCCCAGTGAGGGAAGATTTGCTGTATCCTCTACTGCTGCTGAAGAGTAATAATCGTTGGCACAGTTTGAATGCTGCTTCTGCACAGTTAAAAACAAATTTGTGTTTGTAGAGATAAAATATTAAACTTGAATGAGGGATTTTTCAGGGGCAGTAGGTTGAGCAACTAGAATAATACGGCATTTTATTTTTCTTTGACTATTTTTGTTCTGTGACTGATACCTTTTCCTCATTTTTAAAGATCGATCCTGTGATACTCAGTTTGGGACTTGTAAGGGTGCTAAAAACATTGGAAATCCAGCAGATATAGGAAGTGGGGGAGTCACCTACGTGTAAGTTGTGTTTATTAAGGCCAAAGCTCTATCCTGCCTTGAAGGGCATTCATTCTGTGCCTCATGTCTTAAACGCGTTCCCACTTAGTACAAGTTAGTGGTAGAAAATGTATATTTAAACTTGTCAAGGGAAGCGGTAGTTTCCCCAGGAAAAAAAAAAAGTGGAGCAGTGGTAATTAAATATTCTGTTTCTTAAAATGCGGCATGATCCCAAATATGGCAGCTTTAAGACTTAAATGAGCTCATTTCTTTATTTTTATAAGGCATCTTGGACTGTTACTCACCAGTGACAGACTTGAAGAATCGAATAAATAAAGTTCAGATTTCGGATCAACGTGATGCTGTGCAGAGAGTGTGCTGCTGGGATCTCTGGGGTTAGCTTTACAGAGGTGCCTTTGTTCTTGGGTCTGCAGGGATCCCCAGGTCGCAGTGGCTTTAGGTAGAACTAAGAGCTCCCTTATGCAAAGCTGTGCACAAATACGGAGCTGCTGAAGTTCAGCAAGCGGAGATTTAAGTCAATTGATAGCATCGTAGGAATTTTGTGACGCTTCCTGAAGGGAGTTTGTCATCTAGAAGTGACACTAGGCACTCCGTGTTTTGCAGTCTTTGTTTTGCAACTTGGTAATCCTCTGACCAAGGATAAGGTTAATTATGAGAAACTGCTTCAATATGGCTGTCTAAAGGGATTACGGGTAGTTGTGAATAGGGGCATGACACGCTTAACTCAATTTCGTTTCTCCTATGATAATTGCAACCATATCCACTTTTAATTGCCGGTTTTGTCAATGAGTACTAGGCAGTTTTCTCTGTAGCAGCGTGTGTTCAGCGAACCAAGTGAATCCAGCTTCTGAATTTCTCCAATGGGAAGATGAGCACCGTCTCTGGATGCTTCTCTGGTTTGTGTAGTATACATCGAATATGTCAGGTTTTGTTGGATGGGATGTAAACCTAGGGCTTGGATTTTGCAGTCATTCAGGAGCACTATTTAATTATTAGAGCTGATTGGCAAGAAACAGATGCATAAGATGCACCTTGGTGCCTGGCAGTGTAGAGGCATCGCAGCTGATTGTTACTTCTGGGATGCCGTGATTTACAGAGAGTGAATAGTAAGCACAAGGAAGTGGTACTAAAACAAAAGGGTGAAACTCATGCAAGAGCTGAGCATGAAGAGTTTAGTTGATGTGTCATTAAGTACTATAACTTCATAAGGTAAGGTAGGTATGTTTTGTTCTAATGCAGGCTTCATGTTAGACACAGTCTCTAAAACCAACCTAATTATTTCCTCACTGCTACAGAATCCAGCTAATTTGAACCTGTTCCTCAGAACTGTTTGCCATCTGGATTAATTTGTTCTTTGTGTTGTGTTTTGTAGGTTGAAATAAAAATGAAGAAGCCAGAAGCTGTAAGATGGGAGAAGCTAGAGGGACAGGGAGATTCTCCGAAGTTAAAGCAATTTACACCAGGTTTGTTATCTGAAGGAAGTGTTAAATGCTTTATTTTTGGCAAGGCACTTGCAGATATTAATAATAATTGGTGTGTTAAAAGCTGTTAATAAAATCGTAGTGCTGTATTTACAATAAAAAGACTTATTCTTTTTTTTCCATTACCAGAAAATGACAGAAATAGTCTGCAGGGCATTACTAAAATTCATTTATTAAGGTTGGGCATAACTTCTATTAATCTGATGAACTGTTGAGGATCTATGCTTGTCATTAATTCCTTCAGGCTTTTATCTGTTTAGCTGTTTATTTCAGTCACTGTTTTGCAGTTCTTTGCATTGTTATGGGTATATTGTTGCTTAAAGAATTAAGTATCATTAAGTATTTCACCTCTCTTGAATGCTTTTGCAGTGTCTCAGGACAATTTAACAAGGCATCTTTGAAAAAATGTTGACGTCCTGATTTATTAATTTCAGATATTTTTGCAGTTTAACTCACATTTTTCTGTGGCTGTAGGCTGTTTTTTTCCTTCCTGTCAGCCAATATCTCCTGCCTCATTTTGACTTCAATTATTTTTGCTGTTATTGTCCAGAATTTCTTTGTTGGATAGCTAAATAATATAATTATTTACCTGAAAGTAAACTTTGCAGCTGCTGAATGTGGTCTCCAGCATTTCTTTGTTCCCTTTATATTTTTTCATTGCAATGCTTATATCTGCAAGGAGGAAACCATTTGCATTTTGAGATTCATATTCCATTATTTCAGATTCATTAAATACATACATGTCTGTTCTGGAGAATGCTGCTTTAAAAGTAGTGAGAAGATTCTTAGCTAACTAACATCTCCCTTTTCAGACACCCAGCACTTATATCCATCCTCCTCTCACTACACAAGGAACTGGGACAAACTGGTAGTTGAAATCAAAGAAGAGGAGAAGAACGAGAAGTTAGAAGGAGATGCTGCTTTAAATAAACTCTTTCAGCAAATCTATTCAGATGGTACAGATGAAGTGAAACGTGCCATGAACAAATCATTTGTAAGTCTGTGCTCTTTGTCTCTAAAGAAATGTGTAGCTTTTGCAGAGTGACACAGTATACTAAGCTCTGCATAAGTCAGGCTTCCACCCACCAAAATCTTGGGCCTCTGATAAATGGCAGTGGTTCAGTGGGAGTTGTTGGTGTAACAGGTCTCATTGAAAGGTTGTGCTTTGCTGGTTTCTTTGTTTCAATTAGTGTTATCAAAGGGAATGCAGCTTTTGCTTCCTATAAGGCTTGGAGTTGTTGCCCAGGATGACAGGATCAAATTCTTCTTAATTCTTTATATATAGCTCCTTTGCAACAACATGACAGCCTCTAAAAGCTGCTTATTATCAGCATCTCGTAATGTCCAGTATGGAAGACAAGCACTGCTAGGCTGAAGGTCATGGAATGATGGCTTTTTCAAATTTCATTCAATATATGCACCAAATTCCTGTGTAAAAACTTCACATAGAAGCAATAAATTCATCAGGTTTTTCAGAATTTGTTAATATGTTGCAGGAAATGTGACTTCTGTGTTACTAGATTTCCTCTAGGAAACTAAGCAAGCTTTTTCTTATATTGCAGATGGAGTCTGGAGGCACGGTTCTGAGCACCAACTGGTCAGATGTTGGTAAAAGGAAGGTAGAAGTAAATCCTCCTGATGACATGGAATGGAAAAAATTCTAATCCTGTTTTTAATCTCTTACCATCTCTGTGTTGCCATAAGTCATGTACTGACCACTGTGTATGGACATAGCGTTCTTGGATTCAAAGCACTGAATGCTCCCCTGGAAACAGGAATTGTCTTTACATTTTGCGTGCTTTAGAAATTCCTTCACCTGCAGATGTTAAAGGTGTAGTCACGAGTGGAACCTCTCTTTTCATCATCTTTGTCTAAATTTTGGAGATTGAGTCAAACAGTCTAAATTTTCTACCACCTTTATCAGCTCTGCTCTTTGGGGAATGGGTGATCTCTGGGCTGTTCAGGTTCATTGCCTTATGCCCGATACTTCTGTTCCATAACTTATTAGATCTTGGCAACTTTGGGTAAAAACACTTCTCAACAACAGTGTTACAATTCTTCGCTCTTTAACTCTGCTAAATAAAATTGTAAATATAACTTTTTCTATACAGAAGTTTCTTCATTTCATTTTTAGTAATCTCGGTTTTTGACAAGAGTGAAATTGTTTGAAGCGTACAGCTTAAGTAGTAAATACACTGCTTAAAAAAGAGGTGGCTTGTACAGGAGGAAAACTTGCATTTTGCAAATAGCGAGATTGCCCCTATTGATGCAGATTTAAAAAAAAATAATCCACTTAGGGATTCCTCCCACCTTGGTGATGGGTTGAACTGCAGCTGTATGTGATGAAAGTCGGTCATGGCTGGAAATTTCTACAGGGGAACGAATCCTCTGTCTGCCTTCTGTATTCAGAAAAGAAGGATCTGTTGTAAATTGCCTGAAGTTGAAGACGGCATGCAGTTGCTTTAAATCCTGTTATTTCAAAAAACTGGAAACTCCTCATATTTTAGAGAGGAGCATGTGCATCCTTTATTGTCTTCATTAGTGCAGCTTTTTCATCATGGGCAAATCTTAAATAACAGCCTTTCAAAATAATAATAATAAAAAAAAGCTGAGAAATAACTCCCCTGCCTGTACCTCTTGGGTACAGATCTGCAAGGGCCCACAGTCACCAGACTTGGAGATACTCGGGAGCTCTGTGTGCTGCTGTCCCTTGGGAATTCAGAAGTACCTGAATATTGTAAGATTCTAGAAAAAACTGTGACTATTTGCAAATATTGGCAGCCATCTGAAAGCCCCTTCAGTCCCTGCTAATTGTTGATCCTGTTCTTAAATTCACTGCTCTTCTTGCATTCCTAATTACATAGGCTTTTCTAGGTTGTTACTCTTGTTTCCTTCTTATTTGATGTGTTCCTTTGCTGCTGTGAGAATTGGATAAGCCTGTTAAAATGTAAGGGATATTAGAACAGTTGTTTTAATAGGACAAGGTAAGTCTACAGCTGTTATAAATGTATGTAAAAGTTTATCCACAACTGACTTAGGTTGTAAGAGGGAGAAAGGAGGTGTTCTGTTCTCCCTGAGATCCAGACATTTTGATTTTGCATTGATTCTGTGAAAGCACAGCAGCTTTTTTTTTTTTTATAGTACTGCTCTTGTGCCCTTGGGATAGCACCAAGATTTTAAAATCTCACAAATCTTCAAAGAGGAATTGGTTTTCTACACATACCATGGCTAAGAACTTCAGAGTGCTGTAACTGGTAGCTGTAGATTATGACTGCAGCCTTGACGTAACCGCAGTTCCTTGATGCACTCAGATGATGTTTATCCTGCAGTGCAAGCTGGACGGGGACTTTTTTTCCAACTACTTGTAGCTGAAGACTTGAATCATATGTTCCAGAGCGTGAAGTTGATGACCTTTAGAACTGAATGTTACCCTTTGAGTGTGATGAAGGGCGATGGATTGAATTTGGGAAGGCTTTTGTGTGTGTGCCTTATCCCTGACTCACTGGGTAACATCTGTGTCTTGGAAGAGTTTCTCAAAGGGCACGTGTGTGGCATATTTCAGTGAAGGTTTTTTTGGCTTCAGTGGGGAGATGCTTGCCCTTCAGGGAATTCTGAGTAACTGGTTGCCCAATATCTCGAGCATTTGCTGTCTATATGGGGTGCTAACATTCAAGTTGACTTGATTTGGAACAGGCTTGGACCTGATTCTCCTAGATGAGTGCCTTGCTACTTCTTAGCTATGCTGTGGAAAGCCTTTCTTCCCACCTTAATGTAGAAGGAAGACAAATGTCTGAGCTTTACTTTGTCATAAAATTGGGTTCTTGTCTCCTGGCCAGCTGTGCTTAATATATGTTGTTCAGAGCACTTAGCAAGCCTTTACTAAGCACTTTTAAGGGAAGAACCTAGATAAAAATCTCTTAAAGAGAAAGGAAAATGTAATTTGAGGATGTTTTCTGCCAATCAAGTTGTTTTTACTTACTGTAGAGAACACAGTAGGGGGTTCCTCTGTCTACTTTCACTTGCAGAAAGACCACGGGAATACTTTGGCAGATAAGCACAATACATTATTGTATTAAGTGGGTACTGTTTCACTACTTTGGCATTCAATTCGCTTAGCTTAAGGCAAAAAGTAAAATAAAATGCATCGCTACTTATGTACTCTTGAGGCATGTGTAATGCAAATATAATGCTTTAGCTCCAGGCTAAAACTTGTAGCAATCAAGTGCGGGACCTCCCTGTCCATCTCAATCCTGCCAGCCAAGTTTGCAGGCCTAAACATAATCACCGGTGGGTTTTTGAACACAGATAGTGTGTGTGTGTGTGTGTGTGTTCCTCCTTTAAAACTGAGGTGAACCCGGAGTGGCAGCTTTTGTGTGTTGTGGGCAGTTGTTGTTTTTTGGAGGAGGACTGGGGGGTGTATGTGTTAAAGGAATAGGTAGAAGTGTCTTGTAAAATTGGGGATGAGGAAGGTGCTTTGAGCTGTGTGGACAGCATATATTTTGTTCTTAACAAAGCATGGGAATGCACAGAAGGTTTCCAGGAGCTGTTGGTGAAAGGAAAGGTGGGAGGGAGCTTGGAGGTTGAGTAGAGATGCTGAAGGTACCAGGGAAAAAGGAAATTTTTGTTGGAACAAGACAGGATGAGGCAGCTGATACAGCACTGCAGCCAACTCATTGACAGTGGTTTGTTGTGTGTGTTTTTTTTTTTGTTTGTTTGTTTTTTAGGTGATGTTTTACTTATTCAGACTTCTTTTGAAATATTTCCCAAGCCTTTTGGTCATCTGTAGATAGACTTTTTAGAAGATGTGGAGAGCTCTCCTCAGAACTCAGAGTCCTGTCCCAGATACTACAGGAACAGGACAGCAAGAGGTTACAGAAGAGCCTCCCCACAGGTGGGATTACTCTGGGCTGCTGTTTTGGGCATCATCCAAAATGCCTGACTGCTGTAGCTTCGGGCTGCCTTTCTCATCTCGGGTAAATGTGCCGTGCTGGTAAAGGATGGGGTGAACCTCTCGGTGGTGGTGCCACCGTTTCACTCCAACTTTTGCCCTGTATGAGCAGAGATTCGGTCCATCCTGGTGTGCAAATCAACAATGTATTCTTTGCCAACTGTACTTTTATGCTTCTCTGCATCTTTTTTTGAGCTGTATTGAAGAAGTAAGCAAATGGCTGTGTGGTGTTTAGCTCCCTGCTGGGTTAAGCCCTAACACTCCTGTCTTCCCACTACTTCGTCTTTTTTTTTTTTTTTTTAACCCTATGGTTTTGTTGCCTGTTTTCCTTCTCTTTTTCACTAGTCTGAGTTTGTCCCACTTGTTTCCTCTAATCTGCTCTGCCATCCTAATCCTCCTAGTGCACATTCACACGGGTAATTAAATTTTAAAGATGGTAGGATTGCAGCGCTCCAACATCGACCCGCTTGTGGAGGGAAATATCTTTGGTGACAAACATCCGTCTGTCTTTCCTTCTTCTCTGAACTTTGACCAAAGAAAGGATTTGCACAGGCGGCTGCTAGCACAGGGTCAGACTCAGGGAACCCTGTCCCACCCCAAATACAGGCAGGTTAGAAATCTGGTAGGTGATCCTACTTGTGCATGCTGTAACTCGGTCATGCAAGGAACTGCTTTTGTGGTGTCAAGGGGAAACTCATCTTCAGCAACGGTAGTAAAAGCTGCACAGCAATCCAAACATCCCCCGTAGGGAACATTTCTGCATCTTTTCATACCGTTGGGTCGTCGGTCTTACTGCTGTTGATATCTTGCCTCAAAGCTTCTTAAAAACAAGTTGTTGTGCTTAAATAAGACTTTTATTTCAATGTTGCTGTAGCAAGAGACCTTTAATTCTGTTCTTTGAATACACTACATAGGTAAGTGCTTATTTGAAGCGTTAGTTGGGGAGAGGGTTTTGTTGTGTGCGGAAATGGGTGAGATACACAGTCTGTGCAATCCATGCTTGGTACTGTAGTCCTGGCAGTGTTACTAGTGGCAGGCTGTGTTGTGACTGTGTATCTGCTTCTCCTGCCACCACTGGAGCTTTCTTGGTGTTCCTGCACACAGAAGAGTCGAAGATGTATGTGCCATATGTGACAGTGCTTAAAGCATCCATGAGGAAGATGCTTTTCCTCCTTCTTATTTGCTTTATGTCTGCAAAACTGTCTAGGTGCCTTTTGTTTAGGAAGAATTATTTTTGTTAAGACTGTATAGACATGAAAATCACCTACAACACTTTTTTTTTTTTTTCCTGTCTGCAGAAAAAGACTTTTCAGACTGGGGGGGACAGGGAGAAACGGGTCATGAGTTGCCTCAAGATGGCCCAACGTGCAAAAGACGGTGACAGCCTAGTTCGCGTACATAGAAACATTTCCTTCTCTGAGTGTTTTCACCTTGCTTTCCTCTCCAGACAGTTCTTGAACATGTACTTGAAGGCACTGCTACACTTTCTACATTCAACAAAGCACAGAAAGCAATTGCTGTTTTTAATGTATCCGTTTAATCTGCGTTAAAAAAAAATAAATCTAAGCATATTGAATGATGTTCTTCTAAAAAAACATAACGATCAAGGTCATTTTCATTTTAAAAAGAAAAAAAAAATTAACAGGCCTTGAAATCCCACTCTAAGAAGTTTTTAAATTTAAATATTTCAAAGCAAGTCTTTTCTTGAGATTAAGGTGAAGCTTACATGAAAAAAGGAGTTACAATAGAACAAAATACTGAATTCTATTCTCATCGTTTCTCATTTAACACTTTGCTTTTTCGATACGCTGTTTAGCATGCTGCATGAGGTTGTCTTTATTTTCTTTAAGCCACGATTATGTCAAATTAATTCCTCTTTTCTGTGTCATGCAGTGTTAATAACATTACCAGGCTTGCAACATTTCGAGAGCTGTTTAGTCAAAAAAATGAGAGCTCCAGAAGGCAAATTTAGAGAAAATGGGACCCTCCTGTTCGTGAAGCCCACGTAGATGGCTCCGTAAACTCAGTGGTAGGGTTTGATATGGGGTGAATAAGGATGAAAGCAGTGTAATACCTCTATTTCTGTTTTCAAAGACTGGGAATCCTAAGTCGCACTGCCTTCACGAGTGTTTCAGCTTAGTACCTTCCTTAGAGATTTAATATATAATAGGATCAGTCCCAATAATTACAGGGTTTGCCTGAGCAATAAGGGTGAAGCTAGAAAGCTTTTTTTTTTCTTTCTTTCTTTCTTTCTTTCTTGATTACTGGTAAGCACTTTCTCTTGTGGGGAACAGAGGTTGGCTTCAGCAGAGCTGGCATGAATGGCCGCTATCTAAGCGGAATAAAGAGGGGTTGTAATCTTGTGTCAGAAGTGTCTAGTTCGAGGATTTATAAATACAGCGCCTCTTGTAGGCTCTGAAGGGTCTTGAGACTCTTTGGCCTGCAACTGCGTGTAAATACTTCGCGCCGTAGTCGCTGGAGAGCAGATAGTTGTTAGCCACCGCCGCGGTGTCGTGGATACAAGATTCCTGCTGCCGGGGCGGCTTTGATGTCGGGCTGTGCGAGGGGTTTTGGTTCCCCGGCCACGCACGGTTCCCTTCCACAGCCCCTTTTCCTGCCGCTGGTTTCCGACCTAGCACAATGCGCGGCCCCTGCAGCAGCTTTGTGGGAAAGGTATGCTGTAATTGGGGTATAACCATCCATAATGACCTGGCAGCTCGCTGCGAATAGCAACAGGGAGCAACTTAACTTGTGATTTATTTAACGAAGCTCCGCGGATGAAAGGTGCTCCCGAGTGTACAAGTTTAGCCAGTTGCCTAATTGGACATAAATTTTCACAGCTAGCTCGGAGGGTTTTGTTACGAAAGGGCTGAATTTGGATTTATGAGCAAGCTCCTAGACTGCTAAACCAGTTTGTGAGCAAAGTTAGATGTCCCAAAACAGGCAATGCTTGGTTTTTGAATTCAGTAAATGCTAGCGTACACTTGCCATTGGCAAAGCTAATGAACTATTAATTTAAGATTTTATTTACACTGAGTAACTGACCTCGCTTTTGGTACAGTAACACACGCTTCGATTTCAGAGCCAGGGCTGGCGATGCCCCTTTGGTCGTAGTCTTTTACCAGTTTGTCCTTGTAATCTTTCTGCTTGTTTTGTCAGGGAACCGAAAGCCTTTTCTCACACGACACCCATGATGCGAGCGACCCACCAGCTGCAGGGCATGATGATTCGGCAGGCGGTACGGCAGCCTTGGTAGTTGTAGGGCCACGGGTAGTAGCCCAGGAGGGGCTCGCAAATCCTCTGGCACTGCGTGTAGCTCCGCCTGCACTCGATGCAGCACACGCCTAGGTGATCCAGCATGGGGTCGAAAGCCATCCCTTCCCCTTCCAGTTGCTGAAATTTAAAGTGTTAAATGTTATCCCTCTTACTAAACATTATAAAACTCGGAGGTATAAGTATTAGTGAAGGGAAAGATTTGAAGATAGCCATATGGATCTTTAAGGTAGAGGACCACATCTGAAGATTATGTTGCATTTTTTTAATGTTTTTTGTTTTTTGATGCTTTTTTTTTAATGGTGTTCCGAGGAAATTCTTCAGTAAGCTCTAACCTGGCAGATGTTTTGTTTTTAATTCATAATATTTCTCCTTTGTCTTTCATTCAGCTTTTTCCCCCCTGTGCCACACTGGGTTGCTGTATGGACAGCGAGATTTCTGCCTGTGGTGTACCTGACACTAAGCAGTTACGTGGAGCACAGCACGTAGGAGATATTTAAAAGCAGGCTCTTGCTTCTGCTTTCTCTCTTCAAAATTACTTTCCTCATTTCTGGAGGGGAGGAGGAAGACAAAACCTGAATATTCTGCTTTTTGAAGCTAATTGCTTATTTTTCAAGAACATTTTGAGAAAAGCAGAAGCAAAAAGTGCTGGTATCTAACTTAAAACAAAAAAACACTCAGGTTAGAAAACTGGCAGTGCCCTTCAAAGGTGAGGCACAGAAGGGCCTCAGGCACAGAGCTCAGGCCTTTGGTGACCAATTCCTCACCCTGATAGCAATTGAGGGTCTTTTTTTCCCCTCCTTGTGCAGGATTCATCTTGAGTTCAGATACCTGCAGTGTGAACTACCACAGCTGAGCTCGTCATCCTTACTCCCTTTGGGGTGGGTGAAGAGAGAGTTGTAGGCATGATTTACTCCCCCCTGAAGGACCTGCAGCATAATGAATGGTCCTTTTGAACTAAATGAATCTGCCTGTAAAGAAAGGCTGGCTACAGCCGATACCTGCTGAGGAAGGTGAATCCGACCCTACAGGTGTGGGGATCTAGGAGCTCTGCATCTGGCCCAGCTTCCCTCTGGGGCTGCAGCAATTGCTCTGCTGCTGCTCCCCGGGGGAAAGGTGGCTGAGGCCTTTTGGGCTTCACGTTGGTAGATGAGAGGCTGAATTCCAGTGCCACTGCTACTCTGCTGACCTCATGAGAGAGTCAATTTAGATCCACTTTATTTGGAGTGATTAATTTGAGTTTAATTAAGGGATGTCAACTCTGCTGAACGCTGTCACAGTATAATGATCTCCCGCTGTTGCATAAATGTCAAGTCAAAGCTGGAACTTATTTCCAAGGCAGTAGGCATTTATCTTGTGACAGTGTTGTATTAAAGTGACTTACTCCTGCTGCACCAAATGGGGGGTGTAAATTGTCTGGCGCTGGTGCAGCAGACTGGAAGCTGCCTCCTGCGCACTCGCTTCTCCTGCAGCGCTGCAGGGACATGGGGGCAGCTCCTGGGGGCTGCTTCACCTCCAAGAGCAAGAAAATTCCCTGATGGGCATCTTCCACCCGCTGCTGCTGTCTCTGAACTGGTTCTCCCCTGTGAGCTGCTTGCCAGGGAGCCTGTGCTTAGAAGTAGGTGTGTTTTACTAGGTAAAGGTTGGACGAGATGATCTTGGAGGTCTTTTCCAACCCAAATGATTCTGTGATCCTGCTCTACTAGTCTGTGCTTTCTGGAGGAGAACCGAACAGGCTAAGACTGCAGATTTTAAAAGTGTGGTGTGAGCACTTACATTGTATGGGTTGTCGGGATTGAGCGTTTGGTCGCTCTCTGGTCCGACATCGGTCTCCTGTCCCACCGGCCTGGTTTCATTCGACTGCTGATCCAGCTCTGGGGTCAGCTGGGTGGTGGGCGGCCTGGTGTTCGCCTCTTCAACAGCAGCTTCCAAGTCTTCTGCGTTAAAGGTTGGTTCTGATTGGCGTTTGTTTCTCTTCATTTCTCTCCTTTCCCGTTGTTTATCTGAAGAAATAACCAGGGAAATAATCATTTTGAATGTCTCCTTGAAAACTGGATAAACATCCCAGTTGGGAACTCTGCACTTTCCTTGTACTTCCTAAGCAGCCAGTATCAGCCCAGAGCGGGGTGAGATTGCTTTCCCTCCTCATTTCCTCCCCTGGAAGCTGAGCAGGAGTGAGGAGATGCTTTTTGACTCATTGTACAGTCACTTGCCAGCACTACCAAGAGCAGTCACATGTGAGTCTCATGTTTGTGAAGCCCTTTTGTGACAGATTCGTGTCCTGCTCCCAGGTTCAGCTGGTGGGAACGGCTTCTGGGCCGCTTTAACACCGCTCTTCTGCTGCCCAGTGGGATGTGCAAGGTCAGGAGAAAAACAAAATACTGGCAGGTTGGATCTGCTGGTGCTCTAAATTCTTATCTTTTTTTTTTTCTCCTTGAGGGTTTTAATCACTGGACTGAGAAGGTGTAAATCTTTTCAAGCCCTCTCTCCTCCCAGGCCTGGAGGTTACCTGGAGGAGCTGCCATCTCCCTGGTAACTCCTGAACACCTTCTCTAGGCTTGGCTGCCTGTGACAGCAGTACTTCAGCCCTGGGACTTGCCTCCAGGACCTTCATCTACCAGTTACCAAGCTAAAGCATATCGTCCTTGCACTCCTCTAACATCCTCTGGAGAAGCAGGCTGGGAAAGGAGACAGGGAACGGTCCCCAGTCAGGAGCTTGGTGGTCCCTAACCCAGCTCTTGGCCTGGGATGGTGTTTCCCTGGTTGGGGAAGGCATTTAAGTGAAGGGAAGGATGATATACTTTAAAACTGGGAGAATTTTTACCTTTGGGATATGTAGGTCGAAGCCAGAAAATCGGAAGATCCCACAGAGCTCTAAAATTTTGGGGCTCAGGAAGCCATTGTGCTTGATAGGTTCATCCGCAGCCACCCAGATAAGGGAGTTTTCATCAAATCTCACCGGCATGATTTCATCTTCCTGCGGGTAGAAGAGCACAAAGCCTTTGTTTAATCAAGTGAACAGTCGCGGGCCTACCTGCTGCTATTTCGTGAGTATGAACCGATTGTACTGAAACCAACAGCAGAGCTGCTGTCGGGTTTTGCTGGGGCTGAGATTTCACCTCTCTGAGACTTTTTCCTTATTTAATAGAGGTCTTTCAGTCCAAAGCGCCAGATTTCAGGTGGTAGAAACTGTGAGGCTCTCCCATGTTCAGTAGGCCAGCTGAAAATGAAACCTTTATCTTCTGTCGCGTCCTGCTCTCACTCAACATGCTCCTGAGATATAACTGTTCACAAGAGAAGAAGGAAAACCCACACCTTGTTCACAAGTTTTGGAGTGGATTATAGTCAGAAAATGATTCCAGCTCCCAGTTTTAGGTCGGTGTGATCGGCCCGATTAAAGGTCTTGCTCAGTAAAAGCAAAATTCAATTGACCAAAAGCTTGAAGTGCAAGTTAAGGGAGCCTGCCTTTTTGAAGTGTACCCTGCAGGTTTTTTGGTTCCTATCTTCAAAGTGATGGAGGAAAATGCCAGTGATTGATTCTTTAAAGTTGTTAGTTCAAAGTATTATTTTACATAAAATGTGTAAGGATTTTACAGCAACAGTGAAATATTAAAAGAAAACCAACTTGTGAATCGCGGAAACCAGTGTGATTTCAAAGTTAAAATTCCAAATTGCTTCCATAAAAGTCATCAAAACTTGTTACATAACTGACTAGATCAATTTATTCTGTCAAGTTGTTGTTCCTTTAATGTGTTTATTGATTTCTTTGTAGGTCTCGAGTCATTTAAGTTCGCTATCCAGCCTGTCTAGTGAGAACCGCTCTTTCTTTATTTCCTCCCGGTTTCGTTTTTATTAGCATCAGAAATAACTGAGTCTCGCTTTCGGAAATAAAAATATCCTTCGTTCCTGTTTGCCTGCTCACAAGCCAGGGTGATTTCAGAGTTTGGGTACTGATGCAAATTTATTTTAATCGACCACTTTTATAGGTAACGTCGGTTGTACGTATTGTTAGAAAACACCGTGAGTACTCACAAATACACATTTACCAGAGGGAGAACTTGCTCTACGTAGAAAAATAAATACTACTTTGCTGTTCCAGTTGTGTATCTAGCCAGGAAGGTGAAGTAGCAGGGTGAGGTTGATGTTCCAACAATGCCACCTCTTGGTTTGTCCGCTACCGCGAGTTGTATGCAGCGAGACGTGGTGCATCTTCAGAGAAAATGCACAGAAAATGCATCTGTTGAGATGATCTCTTCAAGACTGCGACCTCATTCTTTAATGAAAAGCTGAAACGTGGGGTTTAGTGCTAATTAAGTCAAGAGCCAAGTCTGCCTTTAAGGTAAGGTGGAAAGGATCTGGGTCTCTGACCACCTGGAATCGGGGTGGGATCTTTTTGCCATCGTAGGGAAAATCCCACCAAAATCAGGGAGTTTGATATGGTCTCTTAATGCTCTCCTGAGTTGTATTTAGAGGGAATTTTTCTTCATTTTTGAGTAGATGTTCAGCAATCACAGCACGTAGGCGCATCGGGAAGGGCAAGAGGAAGATACTGAAGGAGAAAGTGTTTCCATGTCTTCTCCCCAGTTGCATGAAGTGATGCTGGTGTGGGAGCCGGGGCTGTGCAGCAAGTTCACTTGGAGCAGGCTGCAAAAGTCCCTGAGACACGGCGGTGAGGTTATCTCAGCTGTGGCCTCGCAGCGATGACAGCAATCCCTAATCCTGCCCTGTGTTCCCCATCCAAGGAGAAGGATAGCCCAGGTGAGCAGGGGTGCCCTGTACCAAGTGTTTCAGCCTGGGAGCGTGCTGGGCTGATGCAGCTGGCATCAGGTTTAATTCAAAGGGCCCCAGTGCTCTTTATAAAGCTGGATTAGCTGGGACTGCCTTTGGTTTAAAGAAATATATATGAAAAAAAATAAAATAATGTGCTTGGATATCCATATAGGATATTTTAACTTCAGTCGCTGCTGTGAAGTCAGGATTTATCAATCTATATTAAAATTGCTGTCATGGCAAAGCCCGCTCTGTGCTGCTGGCAGCGCTCTTTATTTTAAAATAGCTTCTGCTCCTTGTGTCGTGGGATAAGAGCGTGTGCCAGTGCATACTCAGGGCTGGCTGTGCCAGCTCAAAGCTGTGTTTTCTACCCTGGGCCCATGTTCTTGCCCCACAGAGCTGGGGACTGGTGTGTAGTGCCTGCGCTGTGAGCTCGTGGGCAAACCTGGGGAAGGGGACTGTGGATCTCGTGTCTCCTGTGTGCTCCTGCTGGGGTCCGAGCCACGAACCTCTCAGCTGTACCCAAATAACTGGAGTGGGAAACTCGGGTTTTGTGCACCTACAGCAAGAGGCTTGATGTGAATGAGATGGGGAGAGGTTTGGGCTGGTGTCTGGGTGAGCACTGCAGCTGTCGTAATACCTGATGTGAATTCCATGAAATGTGGCTGACGTGATGTCCTAAAGCCAAGTCAGACGTAGGCTGAGAAGGTAAATTATTAATATTTTTTCCCGTTACTACTTCTGAGATGAATTTTTGCAATAATGCTTTCCCCCGTATTGATTATTTCCCAAGACTTGGCTGCTGGAGTTGCCGCTTCTGCTGACGCTGATAATGGGTAAGTGTTGGTAATTAATCTGTTGGGATCTGTCCCTCACCCTCCTGTACTGACCAAAGCCGCTGCTTCCTCCGTGCTTTCCCAGCACAGATTTGTGCCTAGCCTGACCTCAGGCAGACCCTCATAGCACTGAGGTCTCCTTGCACCCTTTGCAAACGGGACTGGGGCTGGCCCCACTCCCCTCCTGATGGGTGATAAACGCCCCTCTGACACCGCTCTGGCTCTCCTTACCTTTCAGGGACCCCTAAAGATCAGCCACAGACCCCTCAACCACCCAAAGACGACCTGTTCAGTGGTGTTCATACCATTTTTAGTTGCATTAATATCCCCCAAAGTCCCTCTCTACACAAAGAGAATAAAAGGGTTAGCCCTTACCAGGTCGGAGGAGAGGCTCGCCTTGGTCATAGCATCCACCTCGGGGACGTGAGCCTTTGGCTGGGCTTTGATGTAACACTTCTCCCCTTCGGCAAAGCGGATGCCGGTTATGCCCTACAAAAACAGGACACCCCAAATAGAGCACTTGAGCTGGGCTAAAATTGCCACCGATTTATTTTTACTTTATTTTTGTAGCCGGAAAGTTGAATCTTAATTTAAAAACAAATAAAATAAACAACCATGAGATGCTCTTCTCACAATTTTAGCTTTCTAGTTTTGGTGAAACAGGGTCTGGGAGTTTTTGCTCCTTTTCTGAGAAATGGGGGAGTTTTATGTAAGCGCCTCGGTGCCAGATCCGGGTGACTTGGAGCAGCTCTGCCGAGGAATTAGTTAACACAGTTTGAGCCGTGCCTTGGAGTCGTGCTAGCTGGCTGCGTGGGACCCCCAGCACCTTGACACGGCTCCGTGGAAATACGTGGGCAGCTGGGACGCTTGGAAGGGCTGTGACAGCCAGGGGAAGCTTGTGGTGGGGGCTGCGGGGCAGGAGGCTGCTTGTGGGGCTTCCTTCGGCTGGGATATAGGGGTGAAACGCAGTTCCCTAATAATGGGTGTTGAGTTTTGAGCAAGAGAAGGGCATCCCAGCAGGTCTCCTGCAAGTCCTGGGTCACGTCTACCAGCACCATGAGCAACACGTTTGGGTACCAGAGTTTGGGCAGGTATAGCAAAGTTTGGGCTGCTAATGGAAGCCCTCGGCCTTTGGCAGTGCCTGCCTTTGCTTTCCTTCTCCTTCGTGTGCGTTTTGGGTTGTGCTGGGCGTTGTTTAACCATCAGCACGCGTGGAGGTGATGTGAAACTGGCATCGATCCAGCGGCCTGGTGCTTTCGTGCAGATGTGAACAGCGAAGGCAAATGGTAAGAGCTCGTCACGAGTGCTCTTACTCAGCTGCTAATTAATGTTGCCATGGCGATGTTTGCGAGGGCTTCATCGAGGCTGAACCACAGCTGTCGGGTAGGTCCGGGCCCTGGGTCTCCTGGCGTGGATTTGTTTGTGCTTTTGGAGGAACCAAGGAGCCAAATTTCTCCTTCCTAGGTTCAGCAGGTGGGGTGGGGACCGGCTGCTCCAGAAGCCCTGAGCAAGACCTGACAGCTGCTGGTGCCCTTTGAGGCTTAGGGCTTCGAAGTGGGGCGTTGTGCACCTGATGTTTTGGGCGGGTGTTGGTGCTTTTCCAGCTCAATTCCCTGTGTCACAGCCTGCCAGAGGGTTGTTCTAGCACGATCATGAGGGCATGTGTTGCAGCTCTATTTCAGTGGTTTGGAAACACACAGCATTGCATAGAGCCAAACCTGATGCAGCCTAATCCATACTGGGATGGACGCTGGCATGAGCTATCTCCAAAAGGCATTTGGACTTTGTTTTGGAAGAAACCATTTGGCTTCCTGTGAAGGCAAGCCAGGAGGGCATGGATATTTGTATGGGCAGCTGGGGGACAGGGACCTCAGAGCAGCCAGGGCAGAGGAGTTGGGACAGGGTGGTGTGGAGTTCAGCACTGGAGTGTGTTATGTGGAAGACCAGAGCAGAGGTACTTACGATCTGAAAATCATGGACTTCAACAGCCTCCTCGCTCCCGCTTCCCGTTTTGAATGTCTCCAAGTTGTTGCCAGCATCTATTTCCATCGATCCGTCTTGTACTTTCCCATTAATGCTCATGGTATAGTGAACGTTGTACACCTGGGATTGATAACAGAGCAGTAACACTTTAATAATTGTGTGTTGCCTTCTTCCTAAACCTGCCTGGTGCTCAGAGGGAGCCTCCTGCCTGCCCCTGGGTGCCCACTGCCCCTGGCCTGGCGCTGGGCACCCCTGAACAGAGCCTGGCTCACTCTTCATCTCCTAACTTTCAGCTCTGCAGACATTTTGATAATCCTGTCCTACCCTGCAGGAGCCCAACCCTGATTTATTCCTTAGGATGTCCTGCTGGGGTGCAGCGAGACAGGTTTCCCGTGAATACAAACACGCTTCCCAGCCTGTAATGGATGTGAGCTTTGTTTAAATTGGGTACAGAGGTATAGAGATTTGTCAGCATATTTGCTGTTACCCTGTTATTCAATGAGGAAAGCAACAGCCCGGTTTATATTTTCTGGATGACCACAATCGGTGGGGAGGGGATTTTGTCTCTCTTGTGCAGCCTTGCTAGAAGTGCTACGCAAGCGGTTTACTTTTGGCCTTAAAAAGAAAAAAAAAAAAAAAAGCCTCACAGCATTTTAATGAAAAATTTACACTGACAGCTAGAGACAAATTTCTTCTTCTCTCACCTTCTCTCAGGAAAATCTGAGGTGCTAAAGATTTATGGGTCCTCAGTCAGACACATTCAGTCCCGTATTCTCTGCTGTCCTGGGCTCCTATTGAACGTGGTGCTAAACCCAGACCTTTGCACGTGGCGTTCCCTACTAGGGGCTGAGCCAGAGCTGAGGGGTTTTGTTACCACTGTCAGTTATGGGAGAATGTGAAGATTTAAAATAAATTTTCCTTATTTACCCTCATTAAAATTACCTATTTATTCTTTTTTTTTTTAGCATTGTTTCCTAAACACTTGCAAGTCCCAGGTAGTTTTCTGAGCTGGAAGGCAGCTCGGAGAAAGGACTCCAAGCTTTCCCAGTGTCTTCACCTGGAGCTTGACTCTGAACCTTAATGACAACTGTGCATGTAACAGATTTTGCAAACCAGAATTTGGATGGCTGGAACCATAAATAAAGGCAAAGTTTGTCCCAAAATCCACATATGCATTGCACCTCATTCCTGGCTCTGTACCTGCTCCCATCCCTCTCTCCTTTCAAAAACCCAGAGCCAGGAGGTCAGCAATATGTCTTTTGTAATATGTCTTTTTTTTTTTTTTTTTTTTGTCTAAAATCTTGCACTTTCTCCACAATTATCTGAATTAGTCCTACATGCATGCGTGTATTTCACAGGGGCCTTCTGCTCTGTCTGCTGGGGCTCGCACAAGGCTCTCCTTGATGGGAACCGGAGCGGGGCTGGCAGCAGCGCAGAGCTGCTTCCAAAGCAAATCCAGAGCTGCGAGCTGCACTTTTGGAGTAAGTTAAATTCCGATGTGCACGACCATCTTTAACGTGTCCTAAACCAAAGTCTTAGGTAAATAGAAAGTAAAGTTAATATATAAACACAGTCCAATGCTTGTGATGTCTCTGAAGGTTGATCCTTACACTGCTCAGCAGCTTCTCAGTTTTGTCCTTTGCATACAGCCTCTTTCATGTACCCCAGAAAATGTAAATAGGAGAATGTATCACGACTTTAAAAATCCTTCCATAGCTGCTAACCACAAATGCCTGTGTATACGCACAGCCCTACCAGCCACCAATGAGAGGACTGATGGGGCCATTTAATGGGTTAAATATAGCATTACCCGTCTGAGGGTCCAGGTAGGATCCCGCCCAAGAATGCAGCTGATGTGAAGAAGGAATGCGCGCCTTTCAATGCTTTTTTTGTCCTGAGAGCTGGGGTTTGCCTGGGATGTGAATCCCTGGGGAGGAGTTGGGTTTGAGTTTGCTGGGAAGTTGTGAGCAGAAATCAATGTGGTGCCTGTGCTCTTGGAGATAGGCTTCGCCTTCAGTAACAAATGTGCTTCAGGAGGCTCCATCCAAGCAGCCAGTGAAGATAATGACTATGGTATGTGTGTGTGTGTTTTTTAAGGCATGAAAAAAAAATAAAGATCTGCTTACAGCCTTCTTTATCGACCTCACAAGGCAAGTTTCTACCCCGTGCCTCTCCTACTATGCAATGAGTGCCTGGGAAGGGGGCTCACTGTGTTTCTGTGCTCACCTGCCGCTCGGTGGCTTTCCAGAAGTAGAAGGCGCCGATGGCCCCGGCCAGGAGCAGGAGGGCCCCGGCGATGAGCACCGCAGCCCCTGCCTTCAGCAGCCGCCCTGGCCCCGGAGGGGGCACTGCCGCCGTGTATGCCTGTGGGGAGCGAGGTGCTGGGAGTGGGGTGGGGACCCCAGCCCAGTGAGGGTCCCCTGGCTTTGGGTGCTGGTTTGGACCCTTGTCCTGTCCTGACCCGACCCGTCTGTTCTGATGCATCCCGGTCCTGAGCCACCTAACCCATCTGGTCCAATGCATCCCATCCTGACCCATCCCTTGCCACCCCACCCCATTGTGTCCCATCCTGATCTGACCCATCCTAACCCACCCCTTCTGCTGCATCCTGGTCCTGACCCACCTAACCTATCTGGTTCTGATCCAGTGCATCCTATCCCGACCCATCCTGTTTTGATCTGACCCTTTTGCTCCTGAGGCAATGAGTCCTGACCCAACACATTGCATTCAATCCCAATCCCGTTGCATCCCATCCCGCTCCGACCAGACCCATCCTGACCCATCCATCCCATCACATCCCAACCCTCCCATTCTGCCTCATCCCTGTCCTAACCCACCCAACTCCTCCGATCCTGACCCCGCGCATCCCATCCCTACTCATCCCGTCCCGACCCGACCCGTTCACTCCCGATCCCACTCATCCGACCCCATCGCAACCTATCGCGACCCCCCCGTCCCGTCTCGCCCCGCACTCACGGGCGGCAGGCACTGCTCCACATCCTCGGGCCCCGCTCTGGCGATGGGCACCTTCTCCGACCCCTCTGCCATGGCTGAAGCTGCCCTGGGCTCCCCTGCTCCTGGCCCCGTAGGGCAGCACCGCCCCGGCCCGGCCCCACGCACCGCCCCTGGAGCCCCCCCCCAAGGGCCGGGCCCCCCCTTCCCAACCCCAATCCCACCCCCTCCTGGAGGGGCTGGGCCGGAGCTGGAGGGGATTTGGGGCCCCTGGGCCAGTTTTGGAGAGCGGGGAGTGAAGGGGGGCACCGGGGGCGCGCACACACCGAAAGCTGCGGGCTGACATTACAAGATGTTAAAAAAAAAAAAAAAAGGCTCATAAAATAAAACTTTTATGAGCTCGCCACAGGAATTTGCGACACACGGCCCGGCAGGGATGCCGAGCTGCCCAGCCCGGCAAAATTTCATCTTCTCCTTCTACAAGGTCACGGACACCGTGCAACTTGGCCTCTCTGGGGGATGTGTCCCTGGGGTTTCTTCTCACTCCTCATCACTCGCACAGCTCACTGTGCTTGCTTTGTAAGCGTAGGGGTGCCTGCTCACTCTACGTTAAACACATCTGCTGTATTTTTTTTCCCCCAAAGTATACAACTTTCTTTCCATTCCTCTGTCCCGCTCTTCCCCGCATTGCTTATCTGACAAGCCCAGGGCTCCTTTGGTTACTGAGCACATCCCACGTCTTAAACCCATGGGACTTAACGACAATGAGCCTGTCCCATCCCTGAGTGCCACATGCCCTGCAGAGGCAGGTTCAACCGGTACCTTGAAAAGTGAAAAAAAAAAGCAAAACTTAAAAAATCGGAGGCTTGTGCCCACTGAGCCTTGCACCTTGCTGCCGCAGGGCTGGGGAACAAATCCCGGAGAAGCCCATCCACATTTTCTGTCCTGAAACCCAGCTTCGTCCTTCCCGTTGATTTCTGCCATTAACAATCAGATCTTGGCCAAAAATTAACAGGCAGGGCTGCTGCTGAAAATAAACATAATCACGGCTCATTAAATCAAAAGCGGAGCATACTGTGCAACTTCCTAAAGTAGGGCACTTTCTAGCCTGCACTTGAATGACACACTGTTGTAGGTTGGGGCTAATAATAAGATTATGATCCTCTTCATTAGCAAGTATTTTGTTGCACCAAAATCTTGTGAATGGATATGTCTATCTTGGCGAAATGTGCGAATCCCAGCCTTTGATCTCAAACCCCCGTTTAGCACTGCTGCTTTAAAAAGACAGATTTATTTTAAGGCCCCCCGTGCTCATCTCCCGTGCGAAAACGTGCCGGGGAGGTTTCTTCTACACTTTGCCACCTCCCGTTAACCCCTCTGTTCGTGCCTTACCCTATACGTGCGCATATATCTGTTTTCTTGGGGGTGTGGGGAGCCCATCTCTTGCCACCGTGATTGATGAGGTGGCCGCGGGGAAAAGAGGGCTTTGGGCAGATGCAAATCCCTGCAAACAGCCTCGCATTCAGTGGCTCCGGGCGCTCGCTGCGGAGCGCAAAAAGGCGAGCGCAAGAGCCAGTGTTTGCAGGGCTTAGGACAAAAACGTGACTTGCCTTTCACCGGCTGAATTCTTCATTTGCAATAAAGATGATGACGATACTAGTGTCTGAGCGCTGTCTCCTCTCTAAATAACGTGTGTGTGCTCAGCTGGATTAAGCCAACTTCTGAGGCTGGAAATCATAATAACAGTCTTTTACAGGACAGCCTTTCTGGTCGTCTGATACCATTATCCTCTGGGCTGAAAAGCATTCCAGAGTACTTGGAGCACTACAATGAATGTGAGGTTGCTTAGCTGATAGCACGGGCTTGTCTCAAGGAAGCACATTTTCTCATTATTTTTTTCACAGCTCTGAAAAAGTTTAGAAGGGGAAATGGAAATATTAAAAACGAGAACTATTTGGTGAAGCTGTGCACCCTGCCTTTCTGTAAGCCTCTTGTGGTTCCTTATGTGTTTTATCTCCATTTTCTAAGTGTCCCAAATAGTTATTTGAACTTCACGATGGCCTGAACTGAAATTCATGACAGCTACTGAGACTGGGCACTTTTCCATGCTTTCACACCAGCACAGCCGCAACCTGGTGGTGATTCAGGTCTTGATGTCTCTTCTAAATAACCAGAGTCCTCTGGGGGAAAGTAAAAAGCAGTCCTATAGAAAAAGAGAAAGGGAATGTTGGCTTTGATATTCAACCCATGACAGCCTTAGGTTTTGGAGAAAATCTAAGGAGTCTTGCTTGCAACTAGGCCAAAGGATAAGATAATACTTATGTGTGCTACCCTGGACATTGTGGTGTTCCTCGGGGGGTTAGCTTTTCCCCTTCTTCCCCTTGCCCATGCACAGGGTGTGCCAACACACTGCTCCTTTCCTTGACCAGCGTGCTGGTGGCAACGCATGAAATTTTGAACACCAACCCCACTGTTTTTTTCTGTGAAATGCTCCCTGGAAAGCCCTGCGAAGTCCTTTGCTCTGATACTTCAGGAGAAGCTGGGCATCCCCCTTTGCTGTTCTTGGGGTACCTCCCTGGCAGGACCACACCAAGCAGCTGAGCTGGCCTTGCTTGAAAAGATGGCCTGAGATGCACTGGGGCCAGACCACTTTCAGCCCAAATCCTTCCTCTTCTCCCCTGTGGGAGGGTGAGGACATATGGCCCCTCACGGTTTGCTCTTCCTCACCCCAGGACATGGAAGGCAGATTTGTTTTTCCCCAGGGCTGAGTCTCATCCATCCATATGTCTTCAGCTTATTCTTCCTAATTTAGCTCGTGGCTGTGCCTTCTGTTTCCCTCGAATTAAAGAAATGAAATAAAATAACTAGCTGTCATTACATGCTTTCATTCCTACATTTAACGATGTGGTCTCTTTTGTAGCTATCCTGTGTAAATTGCTCATAGACTACTTTCTTTCTTAACCTCAAACCATGGCTTGGTGCTTTGGAGGTAGTTATTATCTTAAACAACTTAGTAACATCAATCTCTTTCTTTCCCAGAGGCTTCTTTTCACTTTTATGAGAAGTCTGATAGGTTTCTTTCCATTTTGTAGCAAAAACTTGTGACTTTTTCTTATCCAAGTGCACCCACGAATTAACTGTATTTCTATTTTTCGATCTATGCGCCGCTCCTCTAATAATTTCATGACCTGACTTGAGAGAACATTTCCAGTGAGATTGTCCCAGAGGCATCTCCAGAACCAGGATGTTTTTCACAAATATGGTCTCCTGAAACACGTATTTTACTCGCCCTTCTGAAAACACTTTAAACGCCATTGTTTTTTTGGCCTTTATTATCTTTGTGAGACATTTGTGTAGGTTGGTTTCAGTGCGTTTAATCCCTATTCACCTATTCTCTGTTCCTTCATTTATCTGTTACATCAGGCTTTTCTGATCCTGTCTGTAATACTTCTTCACCTGCATTCAGGTATCTATTTAAGAAGATTTTCTTTTGGAAGAAACACATCAGATTTAAGAAACTAAACTCAGGAGTGAAAAAGATCCAACGAACAGCATCCTTTCTCTTGAGATGGCTTGTCCTCAGGAATGACGATGGAGGAGACCATGACACGTCCATTTCACAGCACCAGAGCAAGGCTGAGGCTGTCAGGGAGCTCTGGAGGCCCCTGGCCCCAAGCCCTGCTCCAGCACAGGGTTCCTAGGGCCCCGGTGCAGGCGCCTTGTGCCGCTCTGCCAGGAGGAGCCCCCCCAGCCTCTCTGGGCAGCCTGGGCCAGTGCTCAGCCGCCCGCCCAGCACAGAAGTGCTGCCTGGTGCTCAGAGGGAGCCTCCTGCCTGCCCCTTGGTGCCCACTGCCCCTGGCCTGGCGCTGGGCACCCCTGAACAGAGCCTGGCTGCGGCCTCTTTGCCCCCTCCCTGCGGGGATTCCCAGCCCTGGGGGAGATCCCCCTGAGCCTCCTCTTCTCCAGGCTGAGCAGTCCCAGCTCTCCCGGCCTCTGCCCACAGGAGAGGTGCTCCAGGCCCTTCCTCATCAGAGTGGCCCTCCATTGGGTTCTTTCCAGCATGTCCACGTCTCTCTTGTACTGGGGTGGCCAGAATTGGACACAGCACTCAGATGTGGCCTCACCAGTACTGAGCAGAGGGGAAGGATCACCTCTCTCAACCTGCTGTTGATGTTGTTGATGACGTTGCCTAATGTAACCCAGAATACCATCAGCCTCTATAGCAGCAAGGCTCCATTACTGGCTCACGCTGAGCTTGGTGTCCGCCAGGACCCCCAGGTCTTTTACTGCAGAGCTGCTTCCCAGCTGGGTGCCCCCAGCCTGTCCTGGTGCATTTCGTGTTGTTAAATTTTGTGTCATTCTTAGCAGCCCACCTCTGTGGCCTACTGAGATCCCCCTGGGTGGCAGTACCACCTGCTGGTGACTCCACCACCCATTCCTCCCAGTTTTGTGTTGCCAGCAGACTGGCAGCAGACACACTCTGCCCCAACATCCAGATTAATGAATTAATGAATCCATTAATGAAGATGTGGAATTGGACTGGACCCAGTACTGTTCCCTGGGGTACTCCACTAGTTACTGGCCTCCAGCTAGACTTTGTGCCACTGACAAATAGGGTGAATTTAGGTGGTCCACAGCCTCTCTGCTCCCCACTGAAGGCTGTGAGAGCTGCATTCTTCCTGAGAACGTCTCAAAACTGCACCCTTTGCACGTGAAGCTGGGCAGCAAAAATTTACTTACTCAAAAGTAGAGGCAACTACGGCAACTTTGACCTTTGTCTTGCTAGCTGCTGTGAATGTCAGAGCGGGGCTTTGCCCCCACACCACCTGGGAAGCTGTGCTACCCTGGGGATGCTGCCTGTGCTCCCTGCTCCAGTAGCCCTGGGCCCAGCTCTGTGCTGAACTGCACTGTGCAACCATGCCTGAGAGAGTTTGTCTCCCAAAGTGCTTGGGAGGTGACAATTCCTGGCCAGGAGGGAAACCCACCTGCTTCATCAGTGCTGTATTTCTTGCAAGCCACATAGCCAAGGAGAGGCGTATAGAAAAGGTCTGAGGGGAGACAATGAGGCACCTTTGGAGGTACTTGCAAGGAAATCTGTGCTTAGTTGGGACACCATGGAGGAGTTGGGCAAGGTCTTGCTGGAAAATTTAGCAGAATGGTTGTTGTTGCCACCATACCACC